AGCTGAATTCGAAATAAATGACAGTGGTTATTTTTTACCGCTCTACAGAAATTATTCCTCAAACCTTAATGTAGTTTAATTGATGATACTTAATTTATTGGCAAAAAAAACTGAGTTAACATGGATCTGACGGATCTCTGGCTCTGCCTTCTTATATAATACACACCTCTGTTTAGTGGGGCCATACGGGGATGATTTCACATATAGCCCAAAGTTAAGTTAAAGTCACAGCAGGTCTGTGTATTTTCTGTGTTATTTTTAATTTTTCCCAAATATAAGTTAATATAATCTTAGGTAACATACAAATGGGAGCTGAAGCCACTGAAAACTAGTTATGACCCATATCAAACCCTGCACCCGTGACTTTAAGGGGGATACATCACTCAATAAAACAGAATTAAATACTGAGTTTTCTAAGAAATGAGATAATACAAAATGCACTTCTTCAGGAGACCCATCAGGTGGATAAGGGGCACTCAAAACTTAAGCAAGAACGGGTAGGCCAGGCCGTTTCTTCCTCCTGCTACTCTGCTAGCAGGGGGTAGCCATGCTGATACATAGAGCGGTCCCTTTCATGCCTGAGTCCTATAAACAGGACGAGGCAGGCAAATACTTTCTTGTTGGAGGGCTCCTTTGAGGCCTGTCTATTACTCTGATGAATATTTATGCGCCTAACCAGCCACCCCCATCATTCTGGACAAAGATAGCAGCTGAACTGGAGCAGCAGAAGAGCTCTATGACGGTACTGGAGGTGATTTCAGCTGGTGTCTAGTTGAAAAGAAAGACATGTTCCGAGTAACGGCACCAAGAAAGTCAAGTACAGGGGCACGGCTGTGGCTGATGCTAAATGACACATGACTGGTAAGCGTGGGGAACCCTGAATCCATTAGACAGGGATTTTACGTTTGATTCTAATCCACACAGTTCACATTTAAGAACTGATTTTTGTCTTTGTGCCTCCTCAGGTTATGGGACAAATAAATGCATGCTCTATGGGGTCAATCCATATTAGTGACCATGTCCCCGTTTACCTGCAGCTGACTATCCGAGGTGGCATTCTTATCATATTTACTTAATGATACAGATTTCAAGGTAAAAATTGAAGTGGGTACAACCATTTTGGCTAAAAGCTATACTAGTGAAACAAATCCAGAGTTTCTTTTGGAATCCATACAGCTTATTTATGAGGGTTCACCATTTCATTTATGGTCCATCGTAAGAAAATATATCAGATAAAACTTAACAAATTGGAGATGGTCCTAAAACTGTCAGAAGCTGCTTAGAACTCCCAACCTACTGAAGCAAATCTTGTTAAGGTACAAACTAATAGAGCAGTTCTGGATTCCACTATAAATATAAAGGCTGTGAGGTCATTATTCTATGAGAAATAACATATGTAGGAGTATGGAAATAAACCCAGCAAATACCTGGCACGCCTGCTCAAACAGAGCACTTTTGTTTTGGGATAAGATTAATACATCCATCCCGCACCTAATGGAATATTTTAAGCTACTTGGACGTGTCAGGTTTTAAGGTTAATTTGTCAAAGACGGAGGTGATGCCGGTTTGGGCTCTGACGGGCTCTACTGTAGACCCTTTCATTGGTCACCGGCAGGATTAACAGATCTTCGAATAATAATCTGCTTTTCTCTTAAAAAAACTGGTTAAGCTTAACAATGAAAACAATTATGGCTGGAGTAAAGTAAGATTTTTCCCGGTTCTATACTGTATAGGCAGCTTTCCATTACGAAAAATGACCTGCAAGATCATTTAAAGGCGTCACAGACTGGACACAGAATGAAGGGCATGGCGGCAACTACATTCAGTCTGGACCTACATTGTTGGTTCATGTATTAAGCATTTACAGCATTTATGATCACATAAATGTTTTGTTGCCCTTCTATTCAAATGGGCGGGGTTCACATGACTCCCTGGCCAATCAGCGGTCAGCAGTCAGCCGCTGGCTCTGCTGGGCCCTGATGGAACCCCTGATGGACCCGTTTAGTGGGCCCAGTCCCTAATGGGAGACCAAAAACAAAAGCCCGTCCTAACGTTTACCAGCACAAAGCGACTTCCATTTGCCAAAAGCAGGAATGAACCCCCCCCACCGGGGGAGAGGATGCGGAGCTTCATGGAGGTTAACGCATCATTTACCGCCTGGTCTTACTACATCAAGGAGGCGCTGCAGGACGCCCCACGTGTGTCCCGTGGAGCCCCCGCTCCCCTCTGGCTGAGCTCCGTCTGTAAGGCGGAGCATGTGCAGACGGCTGAGTTTAGGAACCCAAATGAAAGGTGAGAGCAGGGGGTTCAGAGCTGCTCACGTTTGAGGTCTGTGTGTTTTATGTTTTATACACAGTAGACTGTTCACTGCCTTAAACAACAGGCAGATCACGCAGGCCAGATTGACGTCCTGAACGAGTTTACACCACTTGAGCAACTGAATTTGAATCTGGTGTTTTTTTCGGGACACGCTGTTCTGGTGGATGGGGCCCTTTTGTTTTCATTAGATGTAACTGAGCAGTTCCTGATCCATCATCAACTACAAGGCTGCAGACACAGACAAAAATGGCAAGACCTTCAGAACTTTTGAAGCTGCTCAGAGTTCGCTCAATATGGCTGATTTGTAACAGTGTACATCATTTTTCACCAAAACTTTTAGTATTTTTCAGGGAAAGTTACAGTTTCTATCCAATGCTGACAGACCATCGGCTCTGTCTTGAGTCTGTAGTGATTCATATATTGGAGACAATAAGTAAAAAAGATTATCCATCATTTTAGCTCCCTGCACAGAGAGCCTGTCTGCCATATTGTTTTGCTTGTGCCTTCCTCTTATCCAGGTTTGCCCTGTTGTGTCTGCTGCTGTAATGTCCTACTTACGGCTCCATCAGCTCCTCTCAGGCCCACATGAAAAATGTGACAGTGGGTTTTTAGGAACTCTCACATCGTATTTGCCCCAGATGTGGGCCACTTATCCATAATTTGGACGTCTGGACACCTTGGCCAGGGTTTGGTTCTTCAGCTCCCATTCTCTGCTGCTTTGACCGAAGATGACGCACAAGTAAAGGAAGCTTTATTTTGTTTCTGAAATTTCCATAAAGAACAACTCTGCGCTAATCTGGAAGGAAAAATAAACGTTTCAATCTCTCTCCCCCTACAGCACCTGTCACATGGTGTGTAGGCACACCTCTGGGCACTTTTCCCTGCGGGTGGCTAATGTGCAGATCTGACCCCCTCAAAAAGCTGTCATGAATAAAGCCAGGAAAAGTGTTGAAGGAAAGCAGAGCAATAGAATAATGGCTGATAACCTGCCTGGGTCTCTAAGCTTTCAGCTGATCTGATGTCAGCCATCAGATAGCCACTCTCATAGGTGCAGATACTGAAATTTGTCCCTTAAGCAGACAAATTTCTTTAGGAAGGGAGAAATGAACAACATTAAATCCACATATTGCAGGTGACCCTTGGCGGTCCAGTATCTCCGGCTAAGCTCGGCTAAAAACCTCCCCTCTAAGCAGGTGAGAACGCTTTCCTTTAATCAGATGAGCTGAAGTTTTGCGTTTCGCGTCGGGTGCCATGGTTACAGAGCCGAGGAGAAAAAGGGGGCTGGGTGATGTTATTAGAACCTACCTTTGGGTTATAAGAGCTAAATGTCTGACCTGTTATGTCAGATCTACATCTCAAAATGGAGACTATTATATTATTGTTATTTCATAGAGATTCATTACACATAGAGTCAAATATCTCAAGCTTTTTTATGATTATGGCTTACAGGTAGAGAAGCCCAGACAATTAGAACAGTGTGAAAAAGGTCATTATTTGAGACCCGTGGCGTCACGCCGTAATCGGCTAATTAACTCCAAACACCTGCAAAGGCCTCTCGGAGCCGCTAAAGGGTCTCTCACTCTGGGTCAGTGGGAGACTGCTGACTTAACAGATGTGCAGGAGACAGTCATGGACACCCTTCACAAAGACTGTAAGCCTCAAAAGGTCGTTGCTGAAGAAGCTGGTCATTCACAGAGCTCTATATGCAACCCCATCAACAGGAAACTGACTGAGAGGAAGACGTGTGGCAGGAAATATATCAAATATACAAAAAACATGTCATTTTCTGAACTGTCTGGCCACAAATTAGTGCACTTTTGTGCAATATCAAACATTTTTTTAGATCTATCTGTTAAGAATAACTGTGTCTAGATGTAGAATTTTATTTGGACTGATCTGGACTAACTAATTCTAACTAATGTCTATATTTGGAGATAATCTTAATCCAGTGTGGGGTCAGAACAGGAAAGCATGAGAGCCACAGTTTAGAATATTAGGCTTTCTGCTAAAATGTTTTTTTTCTCTTTTTTTTTTTGTTCACACATTCAGTTAGAAATACTTCAAAAGGGCACCTATTGGCAGTGAAGGTTGAATCAATGCAAAAGTTTCAGAAGTGCTAAAGTGTTTGGAAGCAGAAGCCATGGACGACCTGTTCCGACAGCGAATGATGAGAACGGCGTCGGGGTTAAAAGCAAGTAACCTGCAGCGGAAGGTCACCGTTGTCAGATCAATAGGAGCTCTAATATATTATGTGTGCTGCTGCAAGAGGTCAGAATGTATGTCACAGAAATACCATTCTGAAGAGCAGAGCTCTTTTTCTTTAGGTTCAAGTCCAAATGGATCTGCTATTCCACTCACAGTTTTATTATTGAAGGAAACTCTTCCTTAAATGCTGCAATATCCCAACAGGTTGTTTATGGCTGAATCATTCTCAGTTTATTTAGCTAATGTGTAATGGCCTCAAGATGTTTAATGTGATTATCACTCACATTCTTATTTTTTGCTTACTTAAGTGACATAGGACATCACAAAAGGAAACTTCCATCAATAGTTTCTATATTTAGGGTCAAATTCTAGCCAAAAAACATCATCCCAACATGACACAAACATGATAAAAACTTCCTCCTAGCCTTTTTTAAATATTGAATTTCCACTGATAAAAAGGTTATCCTCCATCATTCTCATTTGAAGTGATTATTCCACAGCCAGCAAACCACAGCAATAGCCAGAGCAAACTGGATCAGAACCGGCCTCAGAACGCCACGGTACTGATCCACCGGGCCTGGGTACTCTGCGAAAGGTTTAACTTTCTAAGAAGCAACAGCTCAGTTCCCCATAAAGCTTCTCTTCCTCACATTATTTTCTGTTTTGGTCAGACAGCTAAATGCACATTAAAGCCAGTGAGACCTCCTGCTCAGTGAAAAACATTGCAACTCTTACTTTGATCTCATTTCATCCTGATTTTCTAGCCTTCAAACAATGCCTGTATCTGTGTAACAATCTCCAACAAAGAAAGTTCAAATTATCAGAAAAACTTGCGCGTTTCGCACGGTAGCAGCGATCAACAGACCGTTTTCCCTCCTTTATGACAGTTTGCCAATGAACGCCTACAGTCTAGCTCCACTCATCAGTGCATAGAGTGAGTCAGAAACCCGTAATGCCGACCACGTCTGCTCACACAGCACCATCTTACTGGACATACGTCTTCCTCATTCATGCTACAGTCACACTCCGCAATGGTTCACGCAGAGTAAATTCAATCCCAGTCATTAACGCTTGTGAAGTTAGAGGTAAGACAGAGCACAGCCCAGAACCGGTTTCAGCTCTGTTAAACCCTTCTCCAGAGCAGTAAGGCAGGGACAGTATCAGGAAGTACCCCCCCCGTTTCCCCTTACCTCATTCTGTAGTTCATCGTCACTTGTTTGGGAGGTCAGCATCTCAAACAGGGAGGTGCACAGCTCCTCTGGGTTGGAGGAAATCATGTTCCCTCCGTCTAGATATTTCTCCACTTCCGTACGGAGGATGGACACGTCCCCGGAGGTGGGAGAACTCCCTGAGCCGGACGCGTCTTCCTCGCTGGCGCTTTTCTTCCCACTCTGACTACCGTGGATGAAGTTGACAAAGTCAAAGGGTTCCTTCTGGTCTTGGGCACCGGATGCGCACAGGTCCTCCACGGGTTCCAGCGTGTAGCAGTCGTAAGAGAAGGCGATGTTACGTCCGAAACCGCCGTCTCCTCGGGGGTTGAGAGAGCGCTGACTCTGTAGGAAGTCCTCCACTCTGGAGGGGTCGAGCGGAGCCACCAGGCGAGCCACCGAGGCGCAGGAGGCCTCAGCGGCCGAGGACGGGAAGGGCCCGAACATCTGCCGGATGGCCCTGGTCTCCTCGCTGCCCACATGCTCTTTGTTGTGGAAGGTCTCAAACAAGAAGACGGCCGCGCTCTCGATGGCCTCCTGACCGTGTTCCGCACCCACTGTTGAGCAGAGCAAAGGCATTTAGTCCACGTTTTACATGGGTGACTGGACCAGTCAACAACCAACTAAAATGTCTGCCAACCAGATCATCGGCATTAATATATGAAGCTTGAAGATTAAAGCAGAACATCACAGGACTCGGGCAAAGCTGTTGGTCGGAAAGAACAGCTGGAACATGTCATGTGACCACTTTATGTCAGGTTTGTAACATTTGTAACACTTTAGAACTTTTACAACACTGAGATATATGTTTAGAAGTGGCACCGCCTACAAATTGATAGATCAATTTTCTGGTCAGAATTCATGATACAATCATGATCTGGTTGGAATACAACATGGCATGAAAACAAAAGTTGTGAAAACTGTTTTGGTGCATATCACTTGTCTTTTTTTAAACCATCTTTTTGCAGCTTTTCAAGCCTTGGATAAGATTTCCGACTAATTTTCATGAAGTCTTTGTGGAAAAAGTGTTTGATATCAGTTTTTCTGACCAATGACCCGTCTATGCAGGTGTCCTGTTCAGGCATACTTGACCCATTTCACCCAGTCAAATCTCTGTAATTTAAAAAGGCATGTGTTTTGAGCTCAACCATATGGCTCTCCATGTGACATCGGTCCTCCTGGGCTGCTAAAGGATGTCTTTCCCACTTTGGGAACTTAATTAACAGCAGTCGGACGTCTGGCCAAAAGCCAAAATAGTTGGATTTCCACTTCAATTTTTAACCTCCTAAAATGCTAATTCTCTTTGAGAAACCTGGTCTGGACTGATCTATTTTAGCCTATTTTACACCTGTCTCCAAGTTGCTTGTTCTAAGCAAAATATTGTAAAAGATTGTTTCCATCCAGCTTACGGACTTCCTGGATCAGCATCAAATCTTTGAGCCATCTCAGTCCAGTTTTCAGCCGTAACACGGAACAGAATCAGCTCTTAAATGTTCTTAAGAACACATTTTTGATGCAACTAACAGTGGACACCATGCACTGCTTGTCCTCTTTGATCTCACTGCTGCCTTTGACGGGCAAACCCTGCTTTCCTGATTTCACGGCGTGAGCAATGGGTGGGAATCCAGGGCTTAGCTCTCCGTTGGGTGAATTCCTACCGCTCCAACAGGGATTTTTGCATGAGATTTTTGGTGTTTCCCTCTCCTCCTGTGCCGTCTTGCCATGGCGGGGGGTGCCAAGGGCCCTCTTTCAGCCAGTGGGAACTATTCTATGTACATATGGGATCTCATTCCATTTATATGCGGATTACTCTCAAACCTGCTCCCCTTAAAGCAGTCGAATGTTCAGTCCATTCAGACCATTCTTGACTGTCTTAAGGGTATAAAGTTATGGACTGCTCTTAATTTCCTGGGTAATAATAGTTGGTCTCACTTGTTCCACCAGTGTAGTCGTAGATTTTACGTCTGTTGTCACCAACCAGTGTGTAAAAGTTAATGATGCCTTCAGGTTTGATAACAGTGTGGTAAAATCTGCACTACTTTTTTTTTTTTATCTCGGCTGTATCTTTACGATCAAAACGTTCCCTTCTAGTGTGATTTGGAGTCAGTGTTCCATCCTTTATTTTATGGTTGTAGCTCTTAACAGGATTTAGATACCTGCCACCCGGTCATGTCTTCAGTTAGTGGAAAAGGCAACAGCGCAATTTTGAACAGGCAAATCAAGCGGCTTTTAGCCTCTTTGCACCGGCTTCCTGTTTATTCCGTGATCAATTTTCAAGTTGACCTTGCCCCCAGCCTGCTGCCCCCCCACGCCCCGTCTTGTTCCACTGTGGTTCTGTCAGCAGGCCAGATGCTGCAGGTGATTCCCAAATACCAGCCCAGACTCAGAGGGGATTGAGCTCCTTCCACTGCGACCCCAAAGCTCTGGAAACAGCTTGATTTGTACAGAAGACAAGTCTCCTCAGCTGAGGTTTCTAACTGTTCTTTGATCTGGCTTTTAACCCCGTGTTAGGCCTACATTACTTTTTTATTCATTTCACTGTTTATTCAGATTTATTTGGCCATTTTTTGTTTGTTTTTAGATCGTTTAATTTCGGCCTGTTTTCATGGTTTCTAACTGTGAGGTCTGATATGCTTTCTTGTTAGGGTTTTAACAGATGTTCAACTGGCTGTTGTATCTTAAAAGTGCTACATAAATGAAAATGGTATGGTAGAATACAGTGAGTCACATGTTTTAATATTTTACCAAACAAAGTATTTTAACGGTTGGAGTATGCCCACTAAATTGTTCAGTGGAAGGATTTTTAAGTGCATTTGAAGTGGAATGCTGACAAAAAACTGAAGCATGGTTCTTTCTAACTGTGGTTTAAAGCTAGCTCTTTGCCTTACCGTTACTATTAGTGCCAGTGGACCTAATTATGCTAAATGAATAGTTTCCTGCACTCCTTAAGCTGCATGTTAGTGCACTAAATAGCACCATGTTGGTATGCTTATAAAGAGAATAAGGCAGAGCCAGTAATGGTAAGAAATCTGGTGTGAGTGGGATAAGCAACACAGTTCTGCACCTGGCTCCCTTCCAGAGGTTCAAAAAACCCAAGAACAACTGTCTGAAGTATATAATGAGTTACTTTTCCAGAGACGCCAGTAAATATATGGAAGGATTACCTCTTGTTGATGTTTTGTTTCAAATATTAAAGAATTTGCTTTGACCTAGAGAGTTGGGAGATCAATGTTGGTCGAAGAGAACATATACATATATTCTCAAAGACAAACCCAACCATAATTTATGGTTATCTAACCGTCAGTTTCCATCTGCTACAAGATGTAAGATGTTGAACATGTAACTTCATGAGTAGAAGTCCAGTTTGTTAAATATCTTGCTTTGTGTTTTCTCTATAAGGAAGAAGTTATTAAAATACTGCAATAAAGTTTTTAAAAAAATAAACCGATATTTGTTTATGCTCTGTTATTTTCCAAAATCAGAGAAGTGAAAATAGTAGGACTTTTTTTTTTCCGCACTCACTTTATAGTTCTGATAAATTTTAAGAGCTCAATCTGTCAAAATGTTATCAAGTTGTTACATTTACATTTTATATCTGCTTTTCATACCACCTCACAAGCATGAAGAAATACCACATTTAAGGACAATTCAATAACGAGTCCTTACTTAAAAAAAAGAATCAGCCAAACAGGTCGAAAGGCTGAAATATAAATGAAAAAACATGGCTGTCTAACTTGAAGGAAAACAAAAATAAATGTGCCATTCATCAATGATTTGTGGTGATTATTACTGTCATTAGTGTTGTTCTACGTGGCCACTAAAGCAGAGCTGTACACTTGTTAGCAGAAGAAGCTCAGCTTAAGGTCCCTGCTCCTCATTTAAATGATATTCCAGACTATTTGTGTTTAACCAGAGTTGAACTGAGCCAAAAAAAGAACACAGAATAATTGTCCAATTAGAGGAAAACGTGTCAGGGAGTGGAGGTAGGATACAGGCAAGATGGTGGGGAGAGTGAGTACAGATGAAAGGGATTCCAACCAATTAAACGGTCTAAAACAGACTCGTTGCTGTGCAAAAGCCAAGCAGTACAGTTACTTTCATCCTTTCAAGAGAGTGCTTCACAGCAGCATTTTATGTGACCCTGTCTCGCATGTGGGGGTCAAGTTGAACGCATCAGGCCACGGCGGCCATAAACACAACAAACAAGTTAGTCTCAACCGGTGAATGAGACAGACAGGAAAACATGAAGGTAGAGGGAGGAAATCTGAATGAAACTCAACACTGATTTCCACTGTAGAGCTCACAGATTGTTTTGTTTACTATGAGACCTAGAAAAACATTTTTAAACAGAATTAAAAATCGGTTCTGTCTTTGGATATACATATTTGGTGGAGAGATAGAAGGAGCTGTAAGGTCAAAATTTAAACTACTTTTACAATGTATTATTCACAACCCAGATTTTTATAGCAATCTGCACTACCAACAAAACAGACATTACACAGAGTCACTGAACTATGTGACTCACTAAAAGCTAAACTCGGCATGATGTCATGTGTGGGTCACAGCAGAGCATCTGATGACTTCATCGCAGTAAAGATGAAAACAGTGGTCAGAATAAAGATGGAATTTTTTTTTTTTTTTTAAAGTGCACTCACATGACCCCCCTGAATGTACCATGTGTTCCCTTATTTACTACAGGTTGGTGTAAAAAGCATAAACAGAGAAGAAAAGTGGGATTGGGAGGTTAAAGAGTCAGTTACCGATCTGTTTGGCTGCCAGAAGGAGGCTCTTCAAATCCTTGCTGGCAGCTTGCTGTTGAGCTTTGTCCTGATGGTCGGAGCAGAATCGGTCAATCTTCTGCCACGTCAGGCCCTCTCTGGCAAACAGCTCCTGTCTCTTCAGACGCTTGGCCTGCGATGAGTCACAGACAGAGAGGCAATTACACTCCAGCAGAGGCGACGGCACCGCTCGCTGCCTCGGCGATGGCAGCTGTTTCATGCCTGCACACACTTGGATTGCAGCAGAATGATCTACCCAAACATTTTTGTACACGACTAATCTGAAGGCATTTGTTAGAAGTGACTTCAGTCAACAAAAAACCCACCCCGCAAGGTCTCACAGGCCTGGCCCGGGACCAGACACCCGGAGACAATCTCTCTCAACACACTGACCCGTTAAAAGCAGCTTGAAGAAGATAGGTCGATTTAAACCTTATCGGCCAAATCGAACTGTATCTTTACTATCACTAATATTTACAATTTCACAAATGTCTGGACAAACTCACACACTAATTTCTGAGTATTAAGAGTGTTCACGCTTTGATTGGTCATGGATAAATTTAATAAGAAAATGTCCTCTCTAAACCTCTGATATGGCCTCTTACAGACAACTAAATAACTAGCAATCCTCAACAATCCATCTGACTTAACCTTTAGCTTTTACCATAAACATGTCATAAATGGGCATGCTTGATGCCGCACATGTTTTTTTCTTTACAATACAGTAGAACATGGATCCGCGGTGGTTTGGAGAGGCCGGAGCTAATGAGCTTCGCGTTTTTCCCCCCTTTAGCCTTTCTCATTAGAGCAGCGAGGTATTAAATCTGTGCAGGTCTGACAGTTCAAATTCTGAGGTCAGAAGAAGCATTAACACAGTGACTCCATTACAATCAGTTTCTTCATGTCTTCTGAAACTAAGCATTTTAACACGAGCTGGGAGATAATCTCAGAGGGATTTAAAACATTGTTTTCCTGGAGAAGCACTTTTTTTCCGCTAAGAGGATTTAATGAGGGCTGAGCCAGGTAAAAGTGAGGAAGAATTTTGCTCCAAATTTCAAACAGTCGGACAACTAAATTATATAAAAGACCACTTCAGATTGGGATGTTTCACATTCTGAAAGGAGGCTATATGCAAACACAAACCACATCCACGAAAAACATTTTATGGTGAAGCACTGGGCATTAATCATGTATTTTTCATTTAATAGCAGAGACCTCAGCCCATATTCAGACCACAGCTCAAACACATATATACACATATCTCAGTAAAACCAAACGATGAAAATCTCAACTGAAAATGACTTTATGTAAGTCACTATAACAGGCTCATCTGGAGATCCTGATTCAATGGTGTGCTCCATTATCCACTCGTACCAGGTTCTGTGTCCATTAAAGAGCCCCTACATCACAGTAAGACCCCAAATCAAACCAAAACTGAAACTGTGCTGCAAAGTATCTATCACAGGCTGTCCAGCAAAAAGCAAAAATCCTCCAGTATAACCAGAAAAACGTAATAGATACAATCTGAATGTACCTGACGTGTGTTCAATATGTAATAATGCTGAAGGAACATTGTTCTTCTGCATGTGGGACGAGGTTAAGAGAGCTGTTGAGACAATCATCTCAAAGAGAGTTCCAAAAGACCTTGTGCTTTTCATATTAGGACTATACAGGAAGTTTAAGTTTAAAAAGATTGAGCAGGTAATTATAAATATATAGTAGAGCCTCTACTTACAGTTACCTAAACATATGAATTTTCCAGAATACGAAGTGCAATTCGATCAAATATTCGACTCGACACCAAAAGTAAATTTCCAACATCGAAATCATATTTAGAAAATTTAATTACAAAATAAAAAAGAATAAATAAGCCAAGTTAAAGTTCCAACCAAGTTACAGGAGCACTTTAATAGCAGCTGGTTGTTGGATTCAGTTTGGTTGTTTCTTTTAAATCTTCCCCCTCACTTTGCAATCCCCCCAACAATAAATAAATCCTCAAGGGTTGGGTAGCAAGGAAGGCTTTACAACTATAAGGGCTCTACTTGCCATGATACTGAACAGGACAGGGGAAAAAAAGTAATAAATAAAAAAAGATCAAATAAAAGACAAAAGCACCATTGCAATATTTTAAAAAAAAGTAAGACCCAAGCTGGTGCACTGGGGGAGGCAGATGCTAAGTGTTTCCTTTGGAAAGAATCACGCTTTAGAAAAGGAAAGCTCCCAATATTTGAAATCGGGGCCATCCAAATGCTTTGCGGATAGATTCATAGGTTTGATTTGACAGGGGATCCTGGAGATGATGCTGCCGTGAACCGATAATTGTTTGATTGATTTTTTTTTTAATCAAAGGTTTATATCTGGGAAGGTTGGCATTTGGTTGTTTTTTTGTGTTGTTTTTTTTTCTGTTTGTTCCTTTTCTTAAAAAAACATTTTGTTTTGTGTTCAGGTTTCCGTCCTTATATTGTTTTCCTTGTTATTGTCTTCCTCTTTTTTGTATGGTGCAATTTGGCTGCGATGTGTTTTGCACCAGATGCTGATATACAGCTGTAGTTGTGCTGTACTCGCACGTAAAATCAATAAACAAATTGTTCTAAAAAAAGTTTTTAAAAAAAAGGAAGATAAAAAGCACAAATAAGTGGAAATAATGACGCCTCCAAGACTTTATGGCAACAACACAGTCCATAGAAATGTACCTGGAGCAGGTTCATCAGCGATACTTTCATCCGTTGAATTGGATATAGAATAAGAGTTTTCTGGTATCTTAGAAACATTCAGAAGTTTGTATTTTCATAACGGGTATGGTTGGTCTTGTTATGCCTACATTCCTCTTTTCTGTAAGACTCTCACTATGAAGCACTCACAAAAAGACAGTAATTTGGAATTTACCATTCAAGTCAAATGTGTTGCTAATTTTCCAACAACACCAAACAATCTTTTCAGCAAAAGTCTTATTGGGTTTCAGCTCATACTGGTAAACCTGTTGGCGAACAATCAGTCCCTACATTTGTGTTTCCTGCCACCCCAGTCTTTGATTGGCCAATCACTAGCTTCCTGTGTAGAGGTGCTAAAATTGTGTTATGACCATTGTGTGACTGATGGACACCTATAGTTATTTTTTTCACTTCACTAGTGTGCTCATTCCTCTTTACAAAATCAGTTTAGAAGGAGAAACAGAAGCCAGGCACTTCGGTTATTCAATCATGAATTTAGAAAATCTTCCATCTTTTTTTTGTTTGTTTATAATTACTGTGCAAAACTAACTAAACTGCCATGCAAATGCCACATAGAGGCATTACCATGTGCCAGCAGACGTTTCTTTTCCCTGCATGCCTTTGGCCACATATTACATTTATTGTGTTAACATTACACAACACATGTGCATGTTCTTATTACAGACTGAAATAACCAATCGTTTGTTGTTATTTTTCCCTTACAGTGTTTCTCTACACTGTAAATCATTAAATAAAATTCAGTGTTAAAAGTTAAGTATGACGATCAAGTTCAGCTGTACAAGCTAGAGGAGCGTACAGGGGCTTTTAAATTTGTTAAACAATGTAAATAAAGCCGGGCGGCTTTAACCTGCTGGGTTTCTGTAAGAAGAATCTCAATGACTAACAACATAAATGAATAAGTGTCCGTCTGCCCTCACCTTAAGGTCAAGGACCTCCGTGCTGTGTTCCTCTTTCTTGCTGACGATGGAGAATGAGCGAAGTGCTCCTGTGAGCCGTGGAGGAGACATTGTTCCTCTTCCTCACCTCCTTCCAATTCCTGGTCTTACTTCAGGTTCTGACACTGACATGTTTAGAGTGACATGTGGTTAGTAATGCAGTTGCAAAACATCTCTATGACAAAGCCATAGTAATCTGTACCCAAAGCTAAACTAAAGGCAACTATGTGGAGAGTAACTGAGGTGGCTGCAGTGACATTATTAGGTAAATTAGTCAATGAGAATTCATTTAAAATCAGAAGTGAAGAGTATCACCGGTTTACAGAAGCACTCTCAAACACAACGTACGTGTGTCTTTAATGGTATAAAGTTTTGTTTTAACAGTCATCTCTGAAGCCGTAAGAGTACGGCACATGACAAAGCCACACATACGTACATTCTATTAGCTTTCATTTTTCTCACACCAGCAATTACGAAACGTTATGAAACGTGCAAACATGACAACGTTAGAGTGCTAGCTTAACTACGTGTTAGCCTGGCTGTTTATTCCCTTGATATATATTAAATTAAATGCCGTGGATAAATAATGAATAACAGAAAAACAAACAAATGGTCACGAACGAACAGAAAGTAGAGACTTCCAATGTTATACCTCCCAAAGCGCCGAGCTTATACAGTCAGAAACACACTCCAGCGAGTAGAACTTCCCTACCGGCAGATATCAAACACAACTTGCGCACGCGCTTGGAACCATGGGTATCGTAGTTTTCTGAACAGATCTTTTAAACCAGGTCGCGCTTAAAGGACTACATTTCCCGTGTTTACAACAGAGCCACGTAACAGACTATTTCGACTGTCATGTGTAAGAGACAAACAGAAACACTGCTGATGAGTCACACATTTATAGAAGATTTTTTGTCATAGAAAATCTATAATCCGAAAGATATTACAATTTTAGTGTCTGTCATTCCTTGCAGTAGTTTGACTGTAATGTAGAAGAGTTCCAGGCAAAAATGTTAAAAAGTATCAATTATTTGGAGTTAATTTTCTGCTGCTCTGATGTAGTATCTCGCTGTTATTTTTATTTTATTTTTTCGTTTTTTTCCGATCCAGTTCACATCAAGCATTCTTTTTTTTCCAAAATGAAATGCTTTAATGGATTGACACCTGGGGAGTTGGTTTCCAGGCCACTTCCTTGAACTCCTCTTGATCACATTTTATGATGTAGTGAGAAAAAAATAGAGACGTGAGCTCTGTTTTAATTCACGTTCTGCCCAGGAATATCATGCTTAAGTTGCCAATGTATTTTTAAAGTTGAGGGAACAGAACAGAATAAACAACAGCTCAAAAGTACATTTATGTTGTATATTTATGCAGAAAAAAAACTGGTTTCATAAATACAGGAGTTTAAAATCTTCAATTGTAATACTATTATCTTCTACAAGATTTTCAGTCACATGCCCCCCAAACAATAACATACTTTTAATCCAAGTTCTCATTGAAACTTAATCACATAAACAGTATGACAGAATCTGTAGCTCTGCAAATTATATATCGTATTTTTAAATATCAAAGGTCCCATTTTGCACATAACTCAAATGGACCTTAGTAGACTTTTACGACTGTATTTTCTTTATTTGTAGAAAAATTAGCTTGTAAAATACAGCGTTTATTTGAACATCCTTCCATTATATATGCCGCCCAGCTGTCCTTGAGTGAGAGGTGGGGTACGCCTTGAACAGGTCACCAGTCCATCACAGGGCCACATGTCGACAAACAACCACACACTGTCACTCCTAGAGGCAATTTAGAGTCCTCAGTTGACTTTTTTCAGATAGTGGGAGGAAGCCTGGAAGGAAACCCACGCAAACACAGGGAGAACATGCAAACTCCACACATATAGGTCCCAGTCCTGCAGGGATTGGAACCAGGAACCCTCTTACTGTGAGGTGACGGTGGTGACCACGACACTACCATGCCTCCCTAATAAAACATTAACATGAACATTTTCCCCGCATGTCAGAAGGGTCACCCTTCTCTTGCCTCATCCAGAAACTGAACCCCAAATGTTCTGCTGAGGCATCTGTGTTTGAATGTGCATATGTAGAAGAAACCACTGTGCAGACAGTACATAAATGAGGACTTCCTGTGAGTGAATGTGGATAATAGTATCAATGATAAAAATAATAACATTAATGAAAGCATTGTAATATTTATTATAAGAAGAATAGTAATCTGCACAAGGTTATACTAAATTCATATATTTTAATCATCAATCTAAAAAAAATACTTGGGCTACTCTGGTTTATTCAGTAGAAACTTTTTACTTCGGGAAGCCAGTTATATTTTATTTGTACTGTTGAAAATTTCAACCATCATTCTTTAAAAAAAAAAAAATGTATCTTGTTTGATAGCTTTTGTAACCAATACTACGTCCATCTATAAATTATCTAAATGTATTCCTAGCAGGGGGCTGGAACCTATGCCAGCTGGCCTTGACACTATCTTTTGAAAAAAAATTGAAAATACAACTTCAACCGCCATGCACCTGAGCCATTTAGCTGCGTCCCACAATTTTGGAGTGGTCAGAACTTCATCAGGTGCTTGACAACAAAAAAAGCTGTCATAGCTGTGTAACTGACAAACCATAGAAGAAGAAATCTATCAATTTCCATCCACCCTGAACACTACCGTTCACCATGCAGTGTGCAAAGAATCACTTGCAGTGTCTTCTCCACTTTCTGCTGCCAATTGTGATCACATTCTGCATTCACGGCAGCCAGCTTGGTCCTAAGTGGATGTGGTTGGCTTTAGCTAATCTTCACTTGTAAACTGAGTAGAAATGTTCTATACTGTATTTGTAAGCTGGGGTTTAGGGCAGGAGGAATTCCATCAACATTTTGTAGAATATTATAATCCTTGGTGATTATGATTTTTCTCTTAAAACAAATTTGAATGGAAAAAAAATCTGTCCTCAGTTATTAGGACAGTTATTAAAGAGAATGTGAAAGTGAGAAATGACACGCAGAAAGCCCTGCTATTAAAAAGACTTTATTGGGTGCTACTGAAACAGGAATCAGAAGGAACATTTCACCACTATTTTACTGGACCAAAAGCCCATTAACTTAAGGGTCATATTTCAGACTATGACAGACTCATTTTCACAAGCCTGTCTAGTTTGCTTGTTTTTCAGTAGATTGTCAAACTTACGCCCCCTTTAGTCATTTTTAACTACAAAACTGAGCGGTGATCTGAGCGATGGCTCCGGGGGAAGAGCACTCTTTTGATCAGCCAACTGGACGGCCAGCAATGTCCCAGTCTGCCAGGATAACACGCTGGAGTGTCCTTGGACGAGACAGCAAGTCCCAGGTTTTGTGCTAATGAAACCATCAGTGTGTGGACGTGTGTGATAGAGAAAAAAAACTGTAACCTGTAACACTGTGTCGTCGAAAAATGTTGTATGTGAATGTGTTTAGAGGGGCTTTGAGTGGTCAGCTACACTAAAAAAGCACAATTATGTACTCTCAGTTTAGCTAAATCTTCTCAAAGCCAGGCAAATACACAGGAAAAGGAATTTAAATGAACAGATGCAACTACTTTCTGTCATTGTTACACTGTCACATGCATTAGTTATTCATTTTATGCATATTTATTACTTGAAATGTCATTAATAATCATTGTCAACATACAAACAATCGTTGTCATGATACTTGTAGTTGTCAATAATCACTCTGCGATTGCATTCAAATAAAGAATTGTACTCAAACCTCTCAAATTAACCCTTTTTCAAAATTAATGATATGCACTTAAAGATAACATGGGGTGCAGCGTGCTGTTACTGCCGGTCCCAAATAATACAAAGAAATAAAATACTAGAAATAATGCTATAATCCAGTTATCTGGATTTATGCAGTTGTTACTGAATTCATTTAGATGACAATATTTAGTGCTATGCTTTTTCACACTTCCTGGTTTTAGAATCAAGTAGCATCTGGTTTCTACCGTTCACCTTTCATAAGAACACATTAACACAACACCCAGGCCTGGTAACTGCTCAATTCTATACGAAATCCAGTGACTCAGAAACAAATCTTCTAAGTTGCTGAAACCCAAAAGTTGCCATCATAACCCAATCATTCATTAAAGCAACATGAAAGAAGCTCATCATATCGGGTCGTCTAGCCAGTGATAGCGTATATAGGTTAAGCCCCGCTCCGTTTCTGATGGTTGGATTTACCACTGCATATTAACCTGCCAGCTCATCCTGCCAAGTGTTTCCATTCCTCCTACATATGTTTTTTAACTCCAGGCCAACCCATTCTCCATGATCAATGCATACCGAACACATTAAATCTCACCAGTTATTGATCATCTGATAACATAAGTTGTTTCTGTTTGTTTTTTCCATCAGGGATCACCACAGCGTATTGTAAGGTTGGCTTTTTTTTTTACACCGGATGCCTTTCCTGAAGAATCCCTCGCATTTATCCACCCTTCGGGACCGGCTGCACCCCATGTTGCCAGGGTCCGAACCACTTTTCTGCCCATTGGTAAGCAACTCCTCTGACCCCTGAGCCACAGTTGCCCCCATATCACCTTAACATGAGTATAACAATAAATGGATTTTTAAAATCCTGTTAATTTATTATGATTAAAAACTACTGCTCTGGTCAATGGCATTTCAGCCACATCTTTTGCCATTGGAAAGGATTTAACTCCAGTCTGATTCAACTGCAAGAATTTTGCTTTACCTGATGCTGTTTCTTTAATCATGATTTGTTCTACTTACAGAGGTATTGTATCTCTAAAGATGCAGATTCACTAAATAGACATATAATAATTTTTTTTATATGTATAGAATGCTTTCTCATACTTTCTCATGCTTTTTCATACTAAAAGTGTTGTTTAAGCACAGTCTGTGATAAATAGGATGCTAATAGCTAATCTCTTTCAGTCTGATGTAACTTGACATTTCCTGATGAAACCCTCTGTCAACTCACTGAGCCACTGTCACAGTCTGTTGGGGAAATTTGAATACATGTATATTAAATAAAATGAAAAAAAATCTATAT